CATTCCATTCAAAAGAAGGGGAAAAAAAAATAGAGATTGATTACACTGGTCAAAAGAGAGAAAGATGTCAAATTTGCCATCACTCCAACAGCCTTTGCAAAGTATAGTTTTATAAACGTACATTAAATTTTTAAAAAATGAAAATATATATATAAAAAACTGCTAGATTAACGATGTTAACTATGGAGACATGTCAACGTCTGTGAAATGGGTGCTGTTTTGGTGCAAAAAAACATTTCTTGTTGTCAATGTTGAACAGTTTTGCTGCTTATTTTTGTGGAAACCGGATATATTTTTTTCAGGATACTTTGATGAAGAGTTCAAAATAAAAGCATTTATTTGAAATAGAGACCTTTTGTAACATTATAAATGTCTACTGTGACTTTCAATTGCTTTAATACCTTTATTCAGAAAGGTTGCATCCATTTCTTTAAAAAAAAATATTTGCCATCAAACAGTTGAGCACTGCCGTGTGTGTATCCTGTCGCAAAATGTGGCGAAAAGTCCTACACGACGGTAATAATGTGATTAAGGTGTTTACATGTCTATACTGCACTTCAGTAATGCAACTAAAATAGGAATACTCCACATGTCTTAATTCAATTTCTGTTTACTTCGAATATGACTTTAGCCGGATTAAGGTAATCAAAAATCTCTGTTTACATTGTAGATTCTTAATCAGATTATTGTCTTAATCGTGTTAAAATCGGATTATTGTTGTCCATGTAAATGTACTCATTGATGACTGCAGTGCAAATTTTGATGAGAGTTAATTTCCATTAGTTATTTTATCTACAGGATGTCAGATCTAGAATTCTGAAGATTGTTCTTATGAATTACCTGTGCAGCATCTCTCTACTAATAGTCAAACTGTGAGTTTCATTACTTCAAAATAGGGCTGTGCAAAAAAATCAAATGCGATTTTCATGCTCATCTCGTCAGTAAAGCCGGTTCTGTGATTAGTAGTAAATCTCCAGCACGTGCTTTCAGATGGAGCGGCATTTACTACACAGAGCCGTAGATCACTGACAAGCTATAATCACAGAACTGGCTTTACTGACGAGATGAGCATGAAAATCGCATTCGATTTTTTTGAAAAGCAACAATTAGAGCACAGACCAGGTGACCCATAAAACACACCCTGAAGGCTAAATACATGTTCTGTCCATGTCAGATGGTCTCATCTAGTTCACTGTGAATCATTCATCACTCACATGTAGCCGCTGGAGCATCTCTTTCAAGAATTCATGTGCTCAGCCTGCCATGCAGATATTGCCCAACATGGCATGAAGCTTCACTCACACCAGACGCTAAAAGCATCATTACACAGATCACTCCAGGTGCGTGGCGAGCTGGAGGCCAGGTTCATCTCGCAACAATCTCAGCCAACATGCTTCACAAAGCAAAAACAATTACACCTAAATGACCATCAATTGGCAGTTCAGCAAATCTTTCATGCACTAGACAGCACAATGGTTTTTCAAAGGTTCAGACGAACCAGCAGGAGTTTGTGTGTTTAGTGTAAGAGATGAGGCTTTCCTCAGATAATATGTCATCTATATTACTAAACAAAACATAATTCACAAAGGGGCGGGGAATGTGAGGGCTCATCAGCCAATCAGGTTTAAGGAAGTTCATCCAGGTTACTTCAAAGATCAACAAGTTGAGTCCAGAAGTTTTACTACCTTCCCCTTACAAAAATGTGCCACTGTATAGTGAGTTACCATGGTAAATCCAGTCGATTTTAATAGACTTTAATTCTATTATCATGTCCCAAAAACCTTGGTGTCCAAAAAACATGCTATTTAATATTGCTATTATCATGAACATGGTATTACCATGATACAATTTCCAAATGAATATTATAATGGGAAAAAGTATTTTCATGGTACCAATTTAAAACATGGTATTATCATTGTATCATATTATAAACATAGTATTATCATGTCCTAATAAATAGTTCCATCATGTCAAAACTAAACTAAACTAAACTAATAGTTTTTTTTATGGCACCATTAAAAAACATGGTATTACCATGATATATAAAAAAAAAACAGTATTATCATGATACTTGTCCAAAAACAAAACAAAACAAAAAACAATTATTATGGTTCAATTTCCAATAAAGCATGGTATTACCATGGTAAAGAGGAAAGTCCAAATAATAATAATAATAATAAATAACAAATTCAGAAAGGTTGCATTCCATTTCTTAAAAAAAAAAAAAAAAAAAAAACTTTACCGACCACAATCTTAAAATATTTATATATTAAATGTAAATATTTTCATGTATGTATTGTGTTGCTGAATGCATATTTAAATGTATAAAAATGTGTTTAACTTGCATTTACATTTGGAGTAATGATAAAATATTCCAGTACAATGCGAAGACATTTCATCCATCTTTTTACATATAAGAGAGGCATCAAAAGCCCCAGGTTGGCTGGCTCTGGACCCAACTAAGTGCAGCAGCCACGCTGAAAAATCCCTTATGGCTTCCCAATGCTATGAGCTAGATGCTCTCTCACCACGTACTGAGTAAACAATTCACTCTTGCTCCAAGCGAGACACTGGGTACAATGTCAGTGAGTGATTTACAAGGCCACGGTTATATCAGTATTTCATGCTCATCTCGTCAGTAAAGCCGGTTCTGTGATTAGTAGTAAATCTCCAGCACGTGCTTTCAGATGGAGCGGCATTTACTACACAGAGCCGTAGATCACTGACAAGCTATAATCACAGAACTGGCTTTACTGACGAGATGAGCATGAAAATCGCATTCGATTTTTTTGCACAGCCCTATTTTGAAGTAATGAAACTCACAGCTTGACTATTAGTAGAGAGATGCTGCACAGGTAATTCTTAGCTGAGGTAACACTTAGCTGAGATATATAATGTAGCATTTCAGTAATTAAGCTATTTTAGTACAAGCGGTGTCTGTATTTTTGTGATTGTGCTACAATGAAGGAAGTACATTCATTTCAACGGTGATCAAACTGACTGGAACTACCTATGCATTAAACTGTTTAAATGAATATGAAGTTGACTTTTTTTGTTCTAATGATATTATGGCTTTTAAAATGGTTAAACAGCTTTAAGTTGACACTTAGTAATATACTGTAAATACATGTATATAAAAAAAACATTGTTTAATGTTTTTTGGCCATCAGGTCATGCCAGCATCAATTTGTTGTTGTAAGTTCAGGGCATTGTAGCAATGATATATATACAGCAAGTTATACATAAAATTCACACATACACCCCACTTTGACGCTTGATACCTAATAAAAATAAAAGCCAGAAATGTGAATTGATAAGTCAGAAAAAGTTAAGGAAGCCTTACCTCAACAGGGCCAATGGAGTTGAGAAGGTTCATGAGTTGTTTGTTGGTTGTGGTGGTGGATAAACCTTCAATGCAGACGGTGCTTCTCTGACAATCCTGAGCTCTTGGGTTCTGCTGCATCACACGCCCCCCACCACGGCCACGTGCTCGACCCCGAACTACCACCTGTGGACATCAGGGAGGGGAATATTGAATAATGATGGAAAGAACAATTAACAGTACACTCTACACGCTAACAAACTCTTTGATATTATTAAAAAAAATAAGAGGAGTCAGTGCTATAATATGATGCTGGAACTAAGGATCTGATTTGTTTAACTCACTGTTATATCCATTAGACATTTTTATACAGTGGTTCATAGGAAATATCACAATTTAGTAACTGCTCTTAAAAACAGACATTATAATTCATACTCATTTAATGTTAATATTATCAGAGGCATTGTTAGACTTCCATGGTTTAACCATATGATCAAATGGTTGCAAAAAGCCAGGTAAACCATATTAACTAATTTCCTGTAGCCTTGATTTAATTACAAGTTATTAAATAACCAAAGCTACAGCATATTAGTTCATAAACTTCCTTACTGAAAACACTTGTTTATTGTTATTTGTGCTTATGGTTAAAAAACTAAAAAGTGTATTTGCAACATCAAGACGAAGTGCTTTTTGTCTGAAATTGGAGAGAAAGTCCACCAATCTCTTCAGCACTTTACTGATTAAGCCTGTGAAGCAGCTAGAAGCAAGAGAGTTCTGAAAAAGGCCATCATTAAGTCACGCCCAGAGTCTGCTAGAGGCCATGTGACAAAACCTGGTGAATGAAAATGATGTGGTCTGTTGAGACTCAAGCTGAGCTCTTTGGCCTTGAAAGCAAAGCTCTGTGCTGGTCGCAAACCAAAGACAGACAATGTTTCAGCATAAGCCTTTCATTTTATAAGACAATAAAAGTAGACACTGGGTACAATGTCAGTGAGTGATTTACAAGGCCACGGTTATATCAGTAAACAGCAGAAAGTGTTTAGAATATCCGACTCAACATGAGAGCTCAGGCAGATGCAGCAAGACAGTCCGACTGAGACAGCGTGAGCGGCTGTGTGGGAAGGCGCTCTGCTGTGACTGACTGACACATGTTAGCACTGTATTTATCCCCTGGGAATGGACTACTGTACAGAGACAGCAGCGTGCTGAAAAGGCCAAGGGATCTTCATCTCTTCTGCTTCAGCCCGTCAATATCATCACACCTGGCAGTCTGTTCCATATCATTACTGCTCCTGCTCTCCTCCAAAACAGCTACCAGTCCCCTGGGAGAAGCAGTGACACGGCTGAGCCATAGCAGGAAACCAAATCTGCCATCTTTACTAGTGCTGAAGCGTGAGGGAGAGAACCACTTAGAGCAGCTCTTTATGACGGGAAAAAAAAAATAGGAAATGGTACGTCTAATAAAGAGTGCAGATGTGAATTATATATTCTGGAGAACACTATACAAGTCCAGGAGGAACAGCAACATTTCCACAAAAAAAAAAAAAAAGAATAAATACAATTCATGTGTATTCAAGTGATAATGGTCAGAAAATGACCAATTTCTAGGGATGCAACGATACCATTTTTTCAGAACCGATCCGATCCGATACCAGAAATTCTGAGTATCGGCCAATTCCAATCCGATCCGATCCGATACCAGCACAGTTTTTTTTAAATCAATGTAGAATTTCTATACTTCTGTATGTTGACCAGATCATCAGTTTTGTGTGTGTTAAACACAATCTGCTAAATATAGACAACTTCATATTAATGAAAAATAACAACAACAAAAAAATAGATAATCATAATCTACGACAAAAAATACTATTATAAACTAGGTTAGTGGATAACTCAGCAGCAAAAGTTATCCTAGAAAAATCATGGGTGCACAATAATTTTATAAAAACATTAAACTGAACTAAACATTTAGTGAAACAACATTATTTAGTGGGGAACAAATAAAAGTTAATAAGTGTTGGACTAAATCTGGTAAAATGTTACACATTGCTCTTTGTATTGTTGTAAAATACATTCATGAAAAACAAGTAGCCTAAATATATATAGGGCCAAAATATATATTAATTATATATATATATATACTGAACAAAATTATAAACGCAACACTTTTGTTTTTGCCCCCATTTGTCATGAGCTGAACTCAAAGATCTAAGACTTTTTCTATGTACACAAAAGGCCTATTTCTCTCAAATATTGTTCACAAATCTGTCTAAATCGGTGCGGCTTTGTTCTGGTTTGCCGGTTGGTCACGAATTTCCACAAATTCAATAATATTTAGGCATTGTTTCTTTTCCTAAATCCTCACCGTCTAACCCTCTAATTTCGCAGGTTTATTTTATTGTCATTCACTTTTTATCACTGTTTTCGCATCTCTTACTGTGGTAAACATGCGGAAGGGAAATGAAAGATTTCATGGCCATGAATTAAGAATTTGTTCGATGTATTAATTTGTTCCCTCATTTTAGTTAAATCATGGGTTATTTAAGGAACAAAATTAATGAAACATGGACAGTGGCCACAAATTAATAAGTCGTAGGAACGAATTAACAAGTTGTAGGAATGAATCCTTCCCCCGCAGCTCTGCAACCTTCACCTAATTGTTTCAAATATGAAACAATTATCAGGGGAAATGACTGTTACTACATTTCTATTGCATTCTATGTTGAAGAACTTTGTGTTGTTTCTATTTTAATGTACTTTTAAAGTTTAAATCACATTAAAAGCTTAATTTGTAATTATGAGTGAATGATGATGCATTTATATACCGTCACCGTCACTCACAGCCGCTCGCACGTGTTTTGCGCATGAGCCGCACGCAGCCCAAAATTAAACTGCTTAATCGACCATCGATAGCTTTAATCGATTGCATCTCTTATCGACAATTAATCGATCATTGATTAATCGTTGACATCCCTAATACACACACACAACATATGATAGATATAACAGAACAAAAAAGACTATTAATAATCTTTCATTGCGCAAAATTATAATACAAAAGGGTATGGCTCCAATACAGAGCGGCACAAAGCACTTATGCGCATCCCATTCGCAGAATGATGTGCTTGAAGCAACACAGAGTCACAGCGCGCAGCGCTCCGCATAGAAAATGAAGAGATATTGCTGCGTAGTGTATTATATCTGTGCAATATTTTATTGAGCCTTTTCTTTTAACAGTTTTAAATCTCAGTTATTGTGCGCTCGAAGAGAGTTTAATCTTTTTGACTGTAGTAACTGAACGCGACACGCAGTTTGAATTGAACTGAAGAACACTTAATATATAATGCACGAAAAATTTATGGTGTTTTATAATGTTTTTGTGCCTTTCGTGGGGCTTAACAATAACACAGCATAGTATACGCACAATATCTGATTTGGAACGGTCTCGTCTGACCGATACCCGATCCGACAGAAAATGGCAGTATCAGAGCTGATACCGATACTGAGTATTGGATCGATGCATCCCAACCAATTTCATGGGTAAGTTCAAACCACTCTCTCTTCCACTTCCTGACAAAGACATGAATCCTTTGAGAGCTAATACAACAATGAAAAGCAAAATATGTGTGTAACTGATGTTTTATGTACACAACCATTCAAACATTTGGGGTTAGTTTTTTTTTTAATGTTTTTGAATGCCTCTTATGCTCACCAATGATGCATTTACTTGATCAAAAATATGTTAAAAACAGTCATATTGATGAACATTTTCACAATTTAAAATGACTATTTTAAATGACTAAAACTACTGTTTTAATATATTTTAAAATTTATTCCTTTGATGTTAAAGTTATATGGGGCAGTCGTTGGCCTAATGGTTAGAGAGTCGAGTCGGACTTGTAACCTGAAGGTTGCGGGTTCGAGTCTCAGGTCCGGCAGGGATTGTAGGTGGGGGGGAGTGAATGTACAGCGCTCTCTTCCACCCTCAATACCACGACTGAGGTGAGACCCTTGAGCAAGGCACCGAACCCCCAACTGCTCCCCGGGCGCCGCAGCAATATGGCTGCCCACTGCTCCGGGGGTGTGTTCACTGTGTGTGCACCTGGACGTGTTAAATGCAGAGCACAAATTCCGAGTATAGGTCACCATACTTGGCCACACGTCACTTAAACTTTCAGTAGTCATTACTCCAGTTCTCAGAGTTACATGATCTATCAGAAATCATACTAATATGTTGATTTGGTGCTCAAGAAACATTTCGTATTATTATTAATGTTGAAAACAATTGTGCTGCTTCAGGATTATTTGATGAATAGAAAATTAAAAAGAACAGCACTTATTGGAAGTAGAAAACTTATAACATTATAAATGTCACTTGAGATAAATTTAATGCATCCTTGCTGAATAAATCAATAATTTCAAAATAAAAAAAAAATCTCACTGACCCCAAACATTTCAACGGTGGTGTATTTTTTATTCTTGGGGCGCCACAGAGGAGGATGAGAGATGGGGAATTTGATCTGATTTCCTTGTAAACAAGTTAAATGCACTGCTTTCTGGCAAGTTTCATCATTTTCCTCCACAGTACACAAAATGCATAAAACATTTCACAGTTACAACTTATGACTAACAGAAATTTGCTTCCACCATAATGCTTTAATTCTGACGTTCCCAACTCGGAAAGCCGTGGCTTAAAGAAAGTCGTAAATACATTACTTTCGACATGACTTGAAATCACCATTAGTATCAGGGCTTAGTGTCAGCTGTGCAAAATGGCATTGTGCACCTGTCCAATTAAGGACTTATGAGAGTAATCCAGATTCAATGTCATACCCGGTTCATTTGGTTTGCCACGCCACGGCCAGCCTGTTGTTGATTTTGTACACCACCAGTTGCCATGGTAACTTTCCTGATGGGACCAAGTCTCTGTTGGGGGACAGGCCGACCAATTGGTTGTTGCTGCTGCTGTGGGGGACCAGTGTTGGGACCGGCATCTGCCTGCTGAATACAGAGGAGACACATCTTACAACCCACACAAAGAAAATCTCCAGCGGCATACACAAAAAAAAACAAAAAAAAAACATTACAGTCTATCATGAAGTCTGATTTTATCACAAATATTCAAATGTAAACTGCTTATATCAAAAGTTATCATTAATACAATGGCAGTCTTACAGCTCACCAAAACGTACACAACGTACTGTGATCAGTTTAAACTGGCACAGCGTAACTGAATAAGCAAACAAAGACACAATAAGAGACAAACGTGTTGAATTATGTGATGTGTTCGGTATAGCTGAATTAGACCTCTTTCAGAACAGTGATGACTGCATCTCTGAGCACAGATGGCATGGAAGTGGACCTGTTTGAGATAAACTGCCTCTGGCTCTTCCTCGAAATTCTCAGTCATTCTGTTTCCTCATCTGCAGGAAAACCTTTCAAAGTGCCTACGTTATCTGATGGCTGCTGGCAGTCTTTAGATGTTGAAGGCCTTGAAAATGGCCAGATTTAAGTTTTTCACAGGACCACTGAATCTCACAAAAAGGGCTCTTTTCATACTGTATAGGGCATGACAATGTATTGTTGAATGTTAAAGGTTTTTGTGTCTATATGTTACCGTAGATATGCGAGGAAAAATATTTTTTTTAATTTTAAATTGAAACGGTAAAATTAGACCCTTGGGATAAGATGCACAGAAGGTCCAAAGTGGTATGTTCTTGCTTCAGATATTTTTCATTTAATTCATTGAGTAATTTCTGTAATTCTAGAGTTATTTTTAATAGTTCAATGAGTTAGATGTACATTTCTGACATCTCTATTCATTAAAACCTATAGGCTAAGTGAAATCAGTCTATTTTAATGCATAGTGTTGCTATCATACAATTTAATGTGTAATTCTTTACATAAGTCACAGAATAAATGATTCTTTCAGATGATTATCTTTTACTGGGATTCTGCTTTGCCTGTTAATTTTCTTGTAACTATTTAACTAAATTGTCTAAAAATATTTAAAACTTTAAATATATATAAATGAATATCAAAAGTTATTTTCTATATTCTGCAAGTGTTTACCCAAGGGGGCTTCTAGCCCAGATAAGGGTTTTTTGAATATTTTTTGTGTAATTTTACATTGTGTGCAGTAACGATTAATTTAACAAATGTTTCTACTAATTTCCCTTAACACAATGGCTGATGTATCCTGCACATGTTAACGTATATCTAAATATGTTACATGTTAATTTAAAAGTACACAGTTTAACAAACTGGTCTGTCTGTGACAGTAGGTTACACGCAGACACCATTTGTTATATAGAAATTATGTAACAGTTAATGTTTTACTGACACATAAAGCTTAGTTTTAATCCAAATGGTGCATGTGCGGAGTGAACAAACAGTAAACAAATGCATGCAAAAGAAGTGCTCTCTCTTTCTTTCTCTTTCCTTCTTAGAAAATATGTTATTGAAATGTACTATTGGGGGAAAAAAAGACAATTTAACTACAAACTTTTAAAAAATGTTGGGGAGAAAGAGATGTTTCTTATGTTGAAATAAGAATTTAATGTTTAAATGAGAATTTGTTTTATATATATATATCAATCATAGACATCCTTCTTGAAAATCTCCACTCGGTTCCCTGTTTGTTCTGTCATCAGTATTTTTTTGGTGTGGAAACAAACACTGCATGGTATCGGTTTTCGTTACAGGAACATTTTAACGAGAATGAGTATGAGTGCATTAGCTGTATCGGGCCTGACAGCAATGCTAGTATTGTCTAGGTGCCTACATTTATCCCTAAATTTAATATTGTCCACTACAAAGAGAAGCAAACATCAGCATATATTCCTTATCTGACAGCAACACTTATATTCAGGCTGGTAAAGCATTAAATACTGTATGCTCCCTATAAACACATTCCTTCAGTCTACAACAAAGACATAATGGCCAAACCTGCTACATTCATCCTTTTCTCCCCATCTGTCTTTCAAAACCATGTGCATTATCTCAATTGCGTCTCCATGAGAGGGGGTTAATGGATTAATCTTACTCGATACAAAATCCACACCTTCAGATTACATCTATCAGATGGTACGCCACAGGCTTTGTATTCTTCCTGATGAAAATTTAATTTGCTCTTATCTGTACGGCTAAGCTGGGGAAAAATACAAATCCGCCCAAACTGCCATCTCCCTTTCTCCCAGACTCTCGCAGGTATTATATTACACCGATATCAACATAGACGAGGAAGATTAATTGCAGATGTCCCCAGACTGACACCTATTCTAACACACTTCAATGATGAGCTGATGGATGAATAAACCGAGAGGCGAGACGAGATAGATGAAGAGAGTAACACCGAGCGAGCACAAGTTAGAAGGGAGAACAAGAAAGAGAGATAACATTGTCAGGCAGCTGAGGTTGACAGCAGGAGAAGAGAAGCACCTAGAGGATCAGATTCTCTCGGTCTGACACCCCCTCCCCCTTCTTCCTCTTTGTCAGTCAGAGCCACGGCACTTCAGATAGCTGCATGTAGCTTTCTATTAACTAAGTTGACACACAGTTATCTTCATCCACAGAGATTCTGCACTCAAAGGAAATATTTAGCTTCGCTTCAGGAAGGAGACTGGAAAAGAATGTTTTCTCCTCATTCAATGCAGCAAATCATCTCTTAGAGCCCATAAATCATCCTTGGGTCCTTCTTTTCTTGATTGAGATGCAGAAAATGTCCTGCCAGATTTGTAAATAACCAGCTCAAACTCTAGTCTTACTGCTAAATGACTGCTGGAACCCTCAACATAAACGTCCATTAGGTCTTTCTCAAACTGTCACGTAAAATATCGCCTTGACTTAAAGAAGACACAAACCTTTACAATGTCTGGATCTGTTGTCACTCAAAGTAAAGGCTCAAATGCCAAGCAACTCGCTTTAATGACGCCAGAATAGTGCCATTTATGGGCTTAAAAGGTAAAAGTGTTCTGTCAATTAAGTGTGGTGTCACAAATCACAGCATAGAGACCACTTTCTGTATTGATTCTCTCAAAAAGAGAAAAAAGCATTATACTTTAAAGAGTTTTTAGCTCTAAAAACTTTAGTGGTCAAAAAAGTAGACCCCTTGACTTTTAGAGTAATTGGAAATCCTGCTTGTCGAGTTCAGAGTTCTTTGATTTATTCTATAAAGAGCTCTGGTGAATTTTCCAGGTTGATTATCATTCCAACAAAATTATTGTAATCACATGGGTGCGAATTAACTCACGTCTACATCTGTAGTGTGCACCTTTTTTTAATCATTTGCATTGTGTATAGCGTTAAAAGGGATAGTTCACTCAAAAATGAAAATCCTGCCATTTTTTACTAACCTAATGTCGTTTCAATCCTGTATGGTTTTTATTCCTCAGTGGAACAAACAAGGGGATGCTTTTCGAAGAATGTTCACACTGCTCTTTTCTGTAGAGTGAAAGTAGATGTGAACCAGAAGCTGTCTTAACAAAAAAAAAAAAAAAAAAAAAAACACCAAAGGACAAAGACAAAAATAATTGAAAAAAATCAGTGGCATATGAACTTTAAAGATCACATTTAGAGTTTAAACCGGTAACAAATTCACTCACCTCTCCTAGAAGCTTAACTACTCGCACTTTCTGTGGAACCTGTGGTGATTCTATACTGCTCGCTCTTTGCATCACTGTTCTCTTTCCCCCAGGCTGAGGCTGACCCACTGGCACTTCTGATGGGCTGGTCTGAGCAGCACCTTGTCTTTGAGTGTTTTGTGGGGTCATGGTCCTCTTCTGCTGTGGTTGCCATTGGCCCTGCTGGCTGGCTTCAGGACCAGCGTTCTGTTGCTTCTGCGGCCCAGACCAGCCTGAAGTCTGTGCCTGAGGATTAGTGTTCTGCAGCTGGGCCTTCACATTTGGATGAGGGGAACTAAGACCTGACGAAGGGTTCTGGGGGGTACCGTTAGAGATCAGTGAAGGGACCGGCTGTGGGGGTTGGGCTGCAGGGTACTGTGTGGGGTTCTGAGTTTGTGGAGTCTGGTTTGGGTTCTGGCCACTTATCCGTTCCATCAGTTCTTTTTTGCGCATACCAGCCTGCATCTGTCTGCGCTGCTCTTTGCGCTTGAGGATCTCTTCTCGCAGGCGCTTCTGTTCTTCGATCTTCAGTCTGTACTGACGTGTCTCCTCATCTTCATCTGGGTCCTAAACAATGATGAACAAATTCAGGAGTCAGCTTTATTTTTTTTGGCTGGATGATAAAATGTGCAAATATACAGTATGTTTAAGCTAGTTTAGTTTTAGTGTAATCAAGCTTAAGTGTTCATCTCTCTGCCCAAGTATACACAACAAATCTGAAGGATTGAATACAGTTTGCACATCACTTCCTTTGGTGCACACACACAACAGAGGTCAATTGTAGTCCAATTAAAATGTATACATGCTGGACAGTCAAGCTACATTTGCATTATCTATATTTATTTGTCTGAACTGGTATGACATCAGTCTGACAAAAAAAAAAAAGATTTCAGTCAGACTAAAGTGACTGAAAAGACAAATTATTGCTTTTAACTGACTAAAATTTAAGGTAAGCATTTTCAAAAACCTTTACTTGTCTGTTTTAATGCCTTGACAACTTATATGGTTATTTTCATGGCAAAACTAAGGTCAGAAATGAAAAAAATAATCTTTATAATCTATTTTCTTAAAAAACAAAGCTTTTACAGAAAGTATCAGCACAAAAAGGTGAGCCAATCAGCCACAACAACAATAGGACTATGCTACACGTAAACTAACCAATGAGTGTATTGCAGTGGAATAATGCAGTTCAAACATAACAAATATAGCATTTTAAATAGCGGCTACTGCAAAAGTCTATGGGTGGAAAACATGCTGAATGTTAACCCCTCCCACATGATCATGCTACGCAGTATTACCTCTGGAGTGGTGTTTGACTGTGCAGCTGGACACTCTTTCTTCATCTCAGGCACACTGAGCTGCTCTGGTGCTTTGGCAGCTCCCAGCCCTTGTGCCACAGATCCTCCCCTTCCTGCTGGTCCAGCACGGGCAGCCTGCCCTTGTCTAACATTCTGTGTTGCCATGGTAACAGGCTTTGCTTGCCCACTAGGCACTGGCGGGCCGTTATTGTTGCTTGTGGCGATGGGCAGCTCACGGAGGTTGCTGTTGCGTTGAGGGGGAATCTGCTGCAGTGGAGAAGGAGGCATCTGAAGAAGAGGAGGTGGTGGTCATATATATGGGTTGACATTCATAGAAGTACTGCAAAGACTGAAAATCGGTCAATTGACAGCAGTTTTGCTCAAAAAGCTTTTGAGCTGACATAAATGAAAAATGTTTATTTATAATAAATATTTATCTTGCCATCTTGCTCACTGCAACAAATACACATTTGAATGGCTAACCATTTTGGGTCTGGCATGGTTGTTTCGTTGCTGGTTGCCCTGTGGTCGGGACTGCATCTGTCTTTGATTCAACTGGCGGAAGTGGGGCTGAGAGAGGTGCACCATAGGATGTTGGTCCCTTGGGTGGTGTTGATGGTGCTGCTGGTGTTGGGGTGGAGGCTGGGAGTGAGGTAGACCCTGGAGGGGCAAGTCCTGTCTGTGTTGCTGGTGCTGCTGGTGCAAGGATTGATGGGATAGTGGCAGATCATGATGCAGGGGCAGCTGCATTAGACCCTGAATACCACAAAACACAAAGAATACAGCCGGAATAAGACCTAAAATCAAATATACATAAAATAATATAAAGCAAAGTTGTAGCCTTGAGCATGTGAATGAATTAGATCCAGCTTAAGGACATTTACACTGAAATGTAGGCCAGTCATGATTGAGAATGTGGGTACCCTTGAAGTCAGCGCTGTATAATATTTCAGTAGTCTTACAGACAGATAATTTGTCACTATTATCTGAATTTACAACTCAAGCCAAGAAAAATAACACCAATTTGTGTTTAATGACAATTAAGAATAAATATTTTCATTAAAGAAAGCTAGACCTCTGATGTGTAACAACTAACCCAGTGACCTCAAATAACCATGAACTGATAAACAGTGCTAACACAAGAGGGCAGTCTTGTCTGCTGCTTAAAATGAAGACTGCAGCTTCTCCTTGCACAGGCGACCACTACACCTACATGTCTTACAATAACAGGTTTCCAACCAAGCTAAAACACCTTAGGTATGGCTCTTTGCCATATACAGGACTGTTCACAGAGTTTGGGGTCAGTATGATTTTTTTTTTTTTTTTTAAAGTTTTGAACAGTAGTGCATGACTGCCGTATTCCCTACTAAATTTCAGGATTGTGGAAAATACAGAATTACAAAATAAATGTAAAATAAAAGACACTGAAAACTCTTTTTTCCTATACTACATTTTTCATGCCAGTTCCATGCTATGCAGTAAATCAACATGCAGAGTTCAAAATTTGTTTATTTCTGGTAAACTGACTTACTCTCTGGCGTACCTGCATACCAAACTGCACGTGCTGGGGGCTAAAGGGGGGTCCCTGCTGTTGGGGCGAGAAGGGCTGTCTGTGACCCACAAAGCCACGGGGACCAGGGGGGCCTCCATGCTGCGGGGCCAAACCCGGCCGAGGGGGCTCTCTCTGGAAAATACCTCCTCCCTGAGGCCCTTGGTTCTGCCCAAGCCCCAGAGAGCCAAATCCAGGACTTCGGTGTCCCCCTTGTGGGGGGAAAGATGGAGGGCCTTGCCCTGATAACGGAAGAACACTGTTATTCATGAGGGGGGCAGGGCCTGGCTGGTCAAACATGTGCTGGCCCGAAAAACGTGGCTCTAGAAAAGAGAAAAGAAAGGAACAAAAGACATAACGTGAATGAGAAGCCAGAAACCTACAGCATCAATTCTGACTGCTTCAGTTGCTGGTAAACGACTGGATGGAATGACAAAAGTCAAAACAGGTATTCAAAACAATGCAGGTATAGTCTACGCAAGCAACCAGTGTGACCACCTTAAATTGACCTTACCACCAGGGAAGAAGTGCTCTGGATCCCGATGATGTGGCGGTGGTCCTCTCCATTGCTCCTGGGGGAGGAGAGGCCGCTGAGGTGGGCCAAAATTCCCTTGGAGATGTTGCTGGAAATCAGGAGGAGCCTGGAGGAGGACAGCCAAAAGCAAAAATCACACTGACTCCACAGAAAACATTATGACTATTTCAGCACCAAAATATTATTGTTGACACATGAGTTTCAAAGCCAAAAAGCTTCTTATTTGTGCTCATTTAAAATGTAACTCTTCACATTAAGATCATAACCATCAGCTTATACCACTGAGAAATCTTTTAGGCAGAAAGAAAACTATTTGCATATACCCTTGAATATAAATCTTTATCCATTCTCAGCGCTTACCTAACCCATTGCTCATAAAACTCAACCCCCCTCTACCTTTCCAGAGGAAAGACAGATAACGATCCTTACTAATCCTGCAGTTGAATATGAATCTCCTCTCCTTTATTCTTTGAAAATATCCTTTGCTCTTAAGAAATTAGCCTTCGTTCAAAAGAGCCACACTCCAGCAAATTGTGATGCTTAGCACCTCTTTACTCATTATAAATGACTTAAGATGCAATCAAACTTTTAATCCACGTTTCAGCTCTGATCTTCAGTCGGCCAGTGAGTGTCACCAAGGCCAGCCAAGTTGCTTAACAGAAGGTCAATCAGGCAGCTTAGCTAAGCAACGGCCAGAAGGGAGCGAGAGAGAATCACATTGTTATTGTGGACTTCATTGCTCTATTCAAAAGGTCAGCTCCTATAACACAATGAGAGCTTAAGTACATTCACAATACCTTTGCAAGTTTGCATTCATTTGATAAAAGGAGCATGTCCTTTCGGGGGGCTAATCTTTTGTAAATACCCATGGATCTGTTCAATATGTAACCAGTTATGATCTGCCTGGGAGATATAGAGGGAGTGAGAAAGACAAATGCCAAGCATGAGCTGCTGCCATTTTGAAGACAAGCCTCATGTGTCTTAAAATAAACTCAGCAACTTATTCATTTCTGCTCTGTCTTTAGGTATCTGACAAATTCTCATAGATCAAGGTAAAAAAAAAAAAAAAGAAAAAAAGAAATTATAAACGTATATATTCAAAATCATTCAGAACATTACAGCCTGTTACCGATAAAAATGTTATCAACACCAACAACAGCCATCTTTAGAAAAATATAACTGAAGCATCTGACATGGCATTTATGTTTGTTTTCACAGACTGTTTAATGCTGCTTATTCATTTTGATTAATAGAATACAAAAAGTGTTTTTGTATTTGGGGAAATGGCTCTTCATATTCTGGCTACATAGACAAAACAAACTAAGAATAGTCTATGAATTAGTTTCATGCTTTTTACGAATTAGAAAATCAAGACTTCACAGTGGTTGTCTTAGCAGCGTAAAAACTATTTTAACAGTGAATAAATTGTATACAGAAAGCAAGGAGAGATTATTTCCCATCATTACCTTCACTCAAAAAAACCTCACGTTATAAATCACAGAAGCTGTCTACACTGTGAAATGAATCTCTTATTTCACCTCTGCACTTTATGATGAGAATTTATGAGAGTGCAGAATTCCGTGAGTGCGGTGACTAATCTAAACGCCTCTGATTAGCCACTGCATTCATTCACTCAACAGAAACGTGTGTGACTGATTATAATGCTGAGAACACTGAGGAAAAAAAAACATGTAAAGGAATCAGATGCAATGTAAGCAGATCTAAATGTAATGCTACATTAAACACTTTTCATTTAATTTTCACATTTCACTTTAACGGCAACAGCGGAAGTAGATTTAGTTTAATTGTGCTTTATCTTAAATTTTGGTAGTATTTTTGCCCCAAGCCCTCATTAATTTCTGACCCTGACATACAAACACAAAACATCAAATATGAAAAACAAATTTCTTATATTTCTAGACAAATTCCTTCCATATTTCTATAAGTGTTTTCTATAAAAATGTTCTATATATACAAAAATCCTTCTAACGGTGCTACTTTCTGACATAATAAAAGCAATTTATCCATCCGATTTACTAAAGAGTAATATACTAATTCTGCTAAGAGCAGTATCAAACATAAAATACCATATAAATATGTAGAATGGAGATTAATATTAAAAAACTCTGCAGTAGTAAATATTCATAGAGAAATTATGGATCAGCCTATTGTAAGATGAGATGTGATCATATGCTAATGTATGATAATCAAGTGCCCAGAGGGCTAATGGACACCGCTCCCTGCAAAATGCCAATGGCATTTTAAATGGTGTCTTGTCTATACCAGACTGGCTATGAGAGGCAGACAGCTGGAAATGTGTCATGAATGTGTGTGTGTGTGTGTGTGTGTGTGTGTGTGTGTAACTTCTTTCATATTCAGCAATTTTAGGAATGACCAATCATTTTAAATGTCCACAATGTGTCTAAACAAGGGGTCACAGTACATGAATAGTTGGCAAACACATGGACATAAACTTTCCTTTTCACAATCAGGAATTTAGGTTAGAATTTATAAGAGAAAGTGTATATTTTAGGTGATGTGACATCAGTTTTTACAGTTAAATGGATCTGCTGTGTGATCATTTTTTCCTTCTTTTTAATGCCATGCCAGCTTCACGGCGAGAGCCAGGTTCAGTTATTCAAAATTAAAACTAAAGATGTTTAAAATAATTTTTTTCTAAATACCTTAAGACTAAATTTGGATTTACTTGGAGTACAATCCAGTAAAACGTGTTTTAATGGACCGTGGATTCTGACAAGATGAAAACTTTGGGAAATTCTCTCTTGATAGTAAAAGTTTATATGAGTCTTGAGTGTCCTATCTGACATTGTGTGTAAATGACTTGATCCCAGTGATCATCAAAATTAAATGCCCCCCTCCCCCAACATCAAGTTTTATTCCACGTAATTTGTTGTTTAAGCACTGATCCCATGAATGAAAACTTTGAATGTAGCACTGCACAGTGCTCATGTCACTGCCATATTCCAAACTGAAACACTGAACTTTTCATCATTTACACAGAAATAGTAAAAAGGAAAATCAAAGTACTTTTAACAGAGAGGAAAAAGAAGAGAACCGGGGAAACAGAGTTTAGGGGGGTTCAGAAGGCCTCCTCCTCAGCAGTAATCACTTTAGCTACAGCACGGGCAGCTGCCTGATGGTTCCTCTACATCCTTACACACAAGTAAAGGGCTTTTACATATGTTCTGTGTTTTCACGGTCTCCATTTAGATTTCAACTGGCAGATTCAGCTTACATATAAGGATGTGTTTAGGTTTCTAGAGACATGCTATACACACAGCAAGACAAATATTGCTTTTGGTGGCTACATGGCAGTCAAACCCAGAAATACCATGATGTAACACACTGCAGTTTTATGCAGAGTGAAATCACTTAATTGTAACAAAGCAACATGAGATTACTTACCGGGGGTCTCTGTGGACCGATGTTAGGCCTTGGTTGGTTCTGCACAGGAGGCATTGAGGGAACTGAGATTAAATGGAAATAGAGAAAGCACGAGTCAGACAGAAAAAGGGATGCAGAACCAGAGAGTGGGGCGAGGTAACACAGACACCATGAAAGTCTCTTCTTGCCACGCGTCTAAACCATGGTTTGTCACAGCTGGTCACAGAGAGAGGGCTGTTCTGCTGATTAAACTGTGCATCTCTCTCTCGAGCAGACTGGGCCACCTAATGAGATAAACTGACAGTCAAAAGGAGTAATTTCGCTGTGAATCATTTCACCTCCGCAGATGTGTACATTTCAGAAAGCTGGTTTAATGCTGATGGACTGCCTACAGAGTGAAGGCCATACCAAAGGGGGAAAAAAAACTCTTAAAAGGACCCGAGCGAAAATGCGAGTAAGCATTTGGCCTAAAAGTGCAAAGGCCTAAAAATGAACGGAATCTGCTTAAGTCGTGAAATAAGGAATACTGTTTCTGGGTCCAAGCCTATACTCATTTAAGTTGAGAATACCATGTCAACAGCCGTTTATGAGCACTATTTAATCATGATGTCACATTTAACCTAAGCTTAAAAAAATTACAGTGTACACTACAGTCTCCGGGCTCACGGCATCCCAGACATCAATACTTTTACAATCCATAAAAGATGAATCACTGTCTGGCCATTAAAGGTCAGGATCATGATTTTTTTTTAGTAGTATTACACCACACCGTGAGTGTATATTAGCACTGTTAGCCGTTTGTTTTTGGCACCTAATACAGCATTTGGAAATGATGGCGTGTGATGTCAGACTTAAAGGGGTCATGAAATATATATTTTTTAAATGATTTCATATTGTTTCCTGAGGTGCGCTTATAATCATATGGGTTTTTTTCTCCATCAAAAACAGTCAGAATTTAGAGATAAATGGTCATTTTCAACCCTGATTTTAGCCCTCTGATTTGAATGCTCTGTTGGAAGGGCATGTCTAGCTGTGAGACTTCAATATAAATGACTACTGCTGTGATTGGATAATATCTTTGCATATGAAATGAGTATTATAAGTGGAACTCTCTTGAAAACTTTACTGCATTTTTACTATAACAGCCAACAAGATTAACTGTGAAAAGTGTTGATTATAGCATTATTTAGAACTACTCCCATTGAATCAAAGGCTGCAGTGCTGCACTGTAGCCAGTTATGTCTACTGAGTACACAGTGCAATGACCTCCTTATTGCAACGTGATTTCTGTAGTCTCACCGATACTTTCATCATAACTAATGCAGTGAAAACAATGTAAATAAGAGACTCGTTGAGCAGTGTAACATGCAGAAATCAAATCACTGATAGGCTGGTCTCGAATTGACTGCTTCAGCAATTTGAAAACTATTCTTTGAACACTTTGTTTATAAATTAATCATGATATAGATAATAGATGGTTTTCAAGCTACTACCAGGAACAGTTGTTGAACATTTAGTCAGTGGCTTGATTCACTAATGCATAAACAGCAGTAAACTACTTTGGACAAAGAACGTCTGTACATGAGCCCTAACATATTACACCAATCACAGATCATGATGATCATGAAATGCACTTTTTTTTTTCTCCGAGGTTAGTTTATAAAGTTTGCTAAGTGTTTTGCACCAAAAAAGGCCTTCATTTGATGGACAGAGAGGAGTTGTTTAGAACACTTCCTTGATTACATACAAGAATGACATGTGTTAAGGACCGTGTCGAGGAGAATAGTGGCAATGATTTTCCTGATTTAAAATCTGGGTGTTTAAGAAGGGTAGAAAGGATAACTCATATTTTGAACAGGGGAGTTAGTTTTGAGTTCTTAAACTTGCAGTATGTTTTTATTGCAGAGTAACCTCTATTATGTGTAAATACCAAGACAATTTTGATTCATGACCCCTTTAACAAGCGGACAGGCACTTTACAATGTCAAAGACATGTTACAGCAGATGCTTAGACAGCCTCCATTCACCTAACTACAGTAGTCAACATTTGAAGTGGATCAAAACCTTTCATCAAAGTTGTCCTAAAACCCGTTCTTGTCTTAGGACAACTTTGATTCACTTTTTTGATCCACTTCAAATGTTGACTACTGTATATAAAAATCAGGTTGGTGGTCTTTGGGGCCATACCTTGCACAGATGAGGAGGAAGGTCCTCTGAAGTGAGGGTTGATGTGAATGTTCTTGGGATGATGCTGTTGATGCTGCTGGTGTTGGTTGGGATGTGCATGTGAGTGCCTCAGCGGTGAGTTCAACGAGCGTGGTACGTGCGTGTCATGTTGTGTTCTGGGCCCCGGGGAATGGTGGGCCAGACGTGGCATCAACAGCTGCAGCGGCTGCTGAGGAATTGGAGTGCCCGGATCCGGGAATAGCCCAGGACCTCCACTGCCCCTTGGACCAGGCAGACGAGACTGATGGTGGTGATGCTGAAGTGGAGGAGTCATTCTGAGTTGCTGCTTTAAAAAAAGAGAGGCGAAACAGAAAGACCATCAGTCAATAACATAAGCTCATTCTCTTTCACCCCAAAAAATCATTATCTTGTAGTGTTGTGACCCAGAGTCTCAAGATGACCCCTTTAATCAAGTAATCAATCATAAGAGCCATGTGACTGGGAGTGAATCTGAATTAAATGAGCAGTTTAGGAATACAAAATGTTCAAGTACGTTCTTAAAAAACATGCATTGCGCCTCTGTGTCCCCGTTGATTTATGCTAAAGGACAATATCCTATTTCAAATGATGACTGAAGGATTGACTCCTTAAACTCACAAATACACATTGTTGTCTCTTGAAAAACGTATACATTCTAGATTTATTAACTTGTACTCATAGACAGGGGTGGAGGGGAATTCAATAAAATCATTACAGCAGCGCTGCTATCTATATACCACTGTTTGAAGCATAAAGTAAAAGAACACATCAATGTCGAGGAATGACAAGTTATGTCAAAAGCCTGAAAAGGCTTGCCTTCTCTATAAAAGAAAATCAGCTTTAAAAAACGAGAAAAAAAAGGTGCAGCGCAAACGAACAGCTCAAGCGCAAAGGGATTACACCCTCGACAGATATTTAATAATAAAATAAGCGCAGGAAGCTAAATCCTTCAGCAAAGTACAAATTTAATTTGGTGTAATGCTTCCTCAATGGACTGCCGCCAAGTTATTTGCCATAATCCATATATCAACATGGATAAGGGGGAGTGAGAACGGTGATAATTGCCTTTTACTCAAAAGCAAACTGACTCCACTCCACAAGGGTGAGACAAGACACAACTGATGCATAATCTTTAACAGCCTCAAAAGGTAAATCTAATTTCAAGAGAACTGCCTGATCACCAAGGAAGTTAAAATTTGTGTTTGCAAACAGAAAAGCTGTCACTACTAAAGTGTCCACTGTCTAAAGTGTCAAATGTTGTAAAGAATGTTACCGTTTATACTAGAGCCCGACCGATATATCGTTTAGCCGATATTATCGGCCGATATGAACCTGTCGCCGATATATCGGTATCGGCGAATATGCCGCCGATACGCCACTGACATGAAAATTTTTTTTACAGAGCATTTAACACAGATAAAATGCTTGAAATGGTGTAATTACTTAGTTTGTCCAGCAGAGCGCACTCCATTG